TCATGTGCTGAAACTCACCCGCGCTGTGTGTAAACAACACACAGTCGTCAGCAAACGGCAACATACGGATAGTAGTTTCACGGACAAGGGTTCTCGCACCGAAACGACGGATGTTCATCAACCCACCATCAATACGGTGTTCCACACGAACACCGTAAGCACAAGCCGCATCAAAAGCACAAGACAACATTGCATGAAGATAGATATTAAACAGGGTAGGAGATAAGACACAGCCTTGCTTCACACCAGCGACAGCTGCAAAGTCATCCGGGCTATGTCTACTCAGCTGCACCCTCGCCTGCATACCACTGTGCAGACATGCAATAAAACTTACAAACTTTCGCGGACAACCAAAGTTACTCAAAACCAGCCGTAATGTCTCGTGGTTCATCGTATCAAATGCCTTGGTGAAATCAACAAAAAGCAAGTACAAATGCTGGTGTTGTTCTCTGCATTTGCCCTGCAACTGAGGAGCCGCGAGCGCCATATCTATAGTGCTGCGACCTGTACGTAATCCACACTGTTCTTCCGTCACGTTGGGCTCCACAAACTGACGGACGAGGCGGTTGAGCAGCATTCAGGCAATCACCTTGACCACACAACTCAGCAAGTTAATGCCACGATAATTCGTGCAACATTGCTTGCTCACTTTTTCCTTGTATAGTGGTAGCACAGGGGCATCCTTTGGCTCAGCAGGCACCTCCTCAATGCGTACGGGTTGCACCAAGTAGTGCAACGCAGTCACCAACGCGGGTCCGCCGTGTTTCCATACTTCAGGCGGGATCCCGTCGGCCCCGCAGATAACTCAGCCCCAAACATACTTTAAACAGACAATCCGATTAGGAGACGGCAGCAGACGCGCCACTAGTGTCGGTTGCGAGCCATGTCCTGTAAAGTCTCGAGCTAAGCACAAGGCGAGTCACGTGGAATCCAGCCCGGAAGGCGAGACGGACCAACGGCACCCAGTTTGGTCGTCAGTGACTTCATTTCCCGCTGCCAAGTCAACTTCTGTCCACCTCGAGCCTTGCGCCATCCTACACCTGGTAGACTAAACAAGGCCCTCCTAGGTAAGCGGTGACCAGGCATGCGTAGCACGTGCCCGAGCCAACGCAGCTTATTCAGTGCTATCTGTTGTTCTAGGGAGCTAGCATGATTATCACCACCTAGTACTCGCCTACGCACATCATCGTTGCGGACACGCTGGTGCCATCCGAAACCAGCAATGCTTCGCAAACAACGATGATAAAAAACTTGAAGGCGCCTCAGATCATCAGACCGAAGGGGCCAAGTTTCACTATCATAGAGCAGAACGGCCCTCACTGTGGCCTTGTATACACGGCCTTTCAGATGAAGGAAAACTCCCTTCTGTCGCCAAAGATGACGCAGGTTCAAGAAGGTAGCTCTGGCTTTTGCAATGCGTGAGCTCACGTCAGCTTCTATGCGCCCATCATTGCTGATTCAGCTGCCAAGATAAGTGAATTGATCAACCACCTAGAGTTCCTCGTTAGCAAGCGTCAAGGGGCCATCAAGTGGCTGGTGGTCCTGCAGCAACACTTTGCACTTTGAAGATGCGAAGTGCATACCAAATAATGGGACCACTTTGAATAGGCTATTCAGGGTTAATTGTGCCGCCTCAACATTGTCGAAAAGCAAGACGATATCGTCTGCATAATCTAGATCAACTAGCCTTTCATCAGGCAGCACTTCAACGCCTACATCGTGAGATTCCGCAAGGAAACATTCCATGATAAAATCCACGACGAAATTGAACAAAAACGGGGAAGTCGGACAACCCTGACGAATGGCACTTGTAGTCGAAAAGCTATCCGATAGGACACCATAGACCCTGAGTGGTAAACTTGACAAAAAAAGCATTTCTTGTTGCTCTTTTCTTATTATTCATATTGTTTTCCTATTCAGCCATGATTCCGATGGCACAATATCTGTACCACAGATTGTGTATAATATATATATATATATATATATACAGACCCTGACGCGGCCTGTAGTGTTCGAGTACAGAGCACGAAGGATGTTCACATATTTCGTGGGAACACCTTTTCGCGCAAGTAATTCGAACAGAATCGATCGATCGACCAAATCAAACGCACTCTTGAAATCGAGGAACACAGCTATTGTCTGTCTGCGGTATGCGTGGCGCTGCTCTAGCACCTGCCGCAAAGTAAATGTATGGTCTATACAGCCACGTCCTGGGCGAAAACCGGCTTGCTCTTCCCTAATCCGAAATTCCCGTTCTGCAGTGAGGCAACGAACGAGAATCGAAGCCAGTAATTTTGTCACAACTGGCGTTAGGCTAATACCCCTGTGGTTAGAACAGTCTGTGCGACTGCCTTTCTTGTATATTGCCACTATAATCGATTCGCTCCAATTAGCCGAGACGCTCTCTTCTTTCCAGACACATCCGAATAAGGTCAGCGCATTTCAGAGAACATCACCTCCATCCTTAAATAGTGCAGGTGGGAGGGAATCCGGATCAGCGGCACGAAAACGATTGAGGGCTGTGATCGCCTTTCGGACCTCGGCCTCCGACAGAGGCTCTAAACTAACCGTCCATGGCACGTCCTGCATCAGCTGAGTAGGAAGAGGTCCGGGAGCAGGAGGCCAGGTGAACTGATCTTCAAAGTGTTCAGCCCAACGAGCCATACGGCGCTCCTTATTGTGTATCAGCGTACCCGCTGTCCAGATGTAGACAGGAGGACGATTTGGGTCCACATCCAAAGCCTTTGGCTCAAAAGCCTGTTCGCAAGGCAGCGGGGTGGCAATGAGTTATTTTTACAGAAATGGACGCCATCCCATTTCAAACCCCCAACCTGGAGGACCAGGAGACTGAATTTGTCTGACCTCTCACCATTGAGCAACCTGGTAGGAGTAGCTCTCAAGGTGCCCGGAGGCATCACCCAGTATAGCTCGATGGGTTAATGAGGTACGCAAATCGTCGCATAACGTTAAGGTCTAGTCTCGTTGTGACGGAACTCAGATGGGTGAGACTAACACCACCAAGTCCCTTAATGATCTTAAACATCGCTAGCAAATCCCCTCTCAACTTACGCCGTCCCAAGGAAAATAATCCCAAGCTACTTAGACGATCTTCGTACGACTTCCCTCGTTGACCGATCAAGCTGGTCGCAAGACTCAGAATCTTCTACACATATGGCGGCACTACGGAGGTAAGGTGAGTGATCTGAACACTACTCCAGATTAGCCTAAGCATTGCTTTATATGACGGCAAGAACAGTTCCGCTCTTGTGTTATTCATATATATATATACATATATATATATATATATATATATATATATATATATATATATATACATATATGTATATACATATATATTTGCAAAAGTCTACGAATAGACATAATGCCATCAGAAACCATGGGATTCAAACGAAAGTACAGAAATATTAAAATAAAACACAACACAACAATGTCCATGGTTTCCTCAGAGGGCGAGATACTACCCGGTTGCCCAAGCCGAAGTAGGATGTTGACTTAGGGGACACCACCCCGAGCCTTTGGCTGAATAGCCTGTCCGCAAGGCAGCGGAGCGAATTCAGGGAATCGCGCCCATTGGGAGCCGGTGACTGATTGCTCAGTTCATACGCCTTTCGTTTGTTCCTTTGTCAAACAGGGGCCCAATGCTCCCCAGAAGTACAGCATGTTGCTGGAATACAATGCTTCGCCAGGATGAAGCAAGGGGCAGTGACTTTATTTAGTGGCGCCCTCCTAATACAAAATAACTCTTGTCGTGCTTAATTTGCAGCATGGCGACACTACAGAAGGCTTAAAATAGTTCACTATGATGACGCCTACATCGCGGGCTTCATCAGTACATCGCAATGAGATACCGCAGGAGACTGAACTGCAATTCCACTACCACTATTGAACAATAAGTGACATTTATTCGCATTCAGAGTTAGATCACGTTGGCTCGACCAATTCAAAAGCGTGATCATGTCCTTAGCCAATGTTACTCGGTTTTCCCTATAGCTAGAAGTCATCTGCGAAGATGCAGCAGGGATCTACAAAAAGAGGAGCCATGTCATTTACAAACATAAGAAACAATTAACCCAGTACGGAACTTTGAGGGACACCGCTGTAAGCATAACGCACGCAAGAACTCACTTCCCAAACGCTGACCATGAGTGTCATCCTACGTAAGAATTCGAGCCACAATAATAGTTGAGGTTGCAATTCAAACCATGTCAGCTTCTCAATTAAAAACCGATGATTCATGGAATCAAAAGTTTTACTGAAGTCCAAATAGCACACTTCTACCGACAACCCACAACAGCAGATGTAATATTCCTTCGGTTCGGCGTTCTGAGCTCTTCCGTGGCCAAGTAGTGCGACAATCTGCAACGCAAAACAAATACCTCGTAGGCGGCTGTACGCGCGAGCCGCCTAGTAAAAGAAGCAGCTAAGGAAGCATGGAAGAGAAAAGTAAAAGTGCCGGAGAGGAACATGAGGGTAATGATAACAGGCAGCAAAACCGATCAACTTCTTACATGTTTACGTGTTATCGTGACGCCCGCGGACCGGTTACATTATCCCCCTCTTAGCATGCGCTGTCCTCAGTGCCCATAATGGCCCATACAGGCATCAAGTTATCTACCTGCAAGAGGCATTGAGCGCGGTATAGTAGGCTCGGGAGATTCAATGACAAGCAGCGCGATAGTAGAAAGTTAATTATTGCCTCAAGGGCTACAATCTAGCTAGGGTGGAGTGCTGTCGCGAACTGGCAGTCGCCAATTTTTGTAATATTCCATTGGTCCGGCGTTCTGAGCTCTTCCGTGGCCAAGTAGTGCGACAACCTGCAATGCAAGATAAATAACTCGTAGACGGCTGTACGCTCGAGCCGCCTAGTAAGAGGCCGATGTAAAGGAAGCAGCTAAGAAAGCACGGAAGAGCAAAGGAAAAATGCCGGAGAGGAACATGACGGTAATGATAACAGGAAGTAAAACCGATCGCTTTCCTACCTGTTAACGTGCTACCGCGACGCCGGCGGACCGGCAACACACGAACAAAACTTTACGAAACCGAAACTGCGCAAACAAAATGACCTACCAATGCATTTAAACCATACGTGCAATATCAAAAAATGTGAATTTCAACGCATACGAATAATTTGTTCACAACTGTTAAAATAAAGGCATTTAACGGCAACTAATGTGTTAGTAACAAACTGAGCTGACGTTAAGTTTCTGTGCAGTTTGTTACTTTTCTGCTCCGATTTTGCCACTAGGGGGTGGGTAGTGGATGCTGTGCAGTTGACGCGCTTAACACATAATTGCATATGGACAGCAAATCCTGCATAATTGTGCAGTTTGTAGGAAAGCACATCGAAAGAGGACCTCGATATGCAGGTACCCGGATGGTGGGTAAAGCAACTTCAAGTTCAGTTTAAACCGGAATGATAGGTTGATCCCGTGAATGTTCCTTCTTTTGCGTATCGCCGGATCGGGAAATGACAGGTCTGCTTGGGATGTTAAAAAGCCTAAAACAAAGACCGCAACACACCATGTCCAACCAATTACTGCCCACATTTTCCTGCCCAGCAGTCCCTGCCAGGCCGGTTTATGTGAAGTTAAAGAGTGAAGGGTAAGGTAAGAAAACAAGAGGAGGAATGTCTGCTAAATAATGATAATACCAAGGTGAGAAGAAAATTAAAAAGAACGAAGGGATAGTTGAAGATACAAGTCGGTTAGGAGAAGGGGAATGTTTGGTACTGCAACCCAAGAGCATCTGACTGACGTTCGAAACCCTCTACCGTAGACTCCCTAACCACGTGTGCCGGAAGCGAGTTCCAACGCTCAATAACTTGACGCGACAATCGAGTTTCCGTCCTTACCCGGTCAGAACGCTCTTTGTGCAGCTTCAACGAGTGACCTCGGTGGCTAGGTAGCTTGGCGGGACTAAATAGCCAGGACAAATCTGGACCGATCTTAACCGTTAAGATACGGTAAGTGGGGATCAGGTCTCCTCTAATTCTGCGGTAGTGCATTGAGTACATACCCAAGCTAGGCAAACGTTCGGGATACGTTTGCCCTCGAAATCCTTGCACTAATCTTGTACCCACTCGCAATACCCTCTTCAGTTCCATTTTGTTGCTTACAAGGCAAGGTGGACAAGCCTGGATACAGTACGCTAAGTGAGATCGCACAAAAGCTGAGACCAGCTTCACAAAAATATGGGCCGTTAGGACACCGACGGAGCGACGAATACACATCATACGGAACCCTCTACAAGCAGCCTTCCTCCAATTTTCCCCAGAGTGAAGCAATGAGGTACGGGTGATACCTAGATCAACCTGCTGAATGACAACAGGGAGTTCACTTCCACCAAATACATAGCGCGTGGGGGGACTAACACCTCTAATGCGGAGGACAGAGCAGTTCGCCTGATCTATGGGCATCAGCCATAAGGTTGACCAATCACATAGCCTATCCCAGGCACTCTGAAGTGCATCAGAACCCCAGGGATATCCACAATATTCCAGAGCTTGAGGTCATCGGCAAACAATAGCGATGGTACTCTAAGCTCCTGGGGTAGGTCATTTACATAAATTGCGAAAAGCAACGGCCCTAGAACCGAGCCCTGCGGAACGCCATTAAGAACAGCTTGTCTTAGCGAAAGGCTACGCCCCAGGCGTACACACTGTTCTCTGCCCTCTAGGAAAGCAGAAACCCATTTAAGGGCGGCTCCAGATATCCCATACGATCTCAACTTCAATGTGAGTCGCTGACGTTGGACAGTATCAAAGGCTCTCGTGAAGTCAAGGAAAAGCACGTCGATAGCGTGACCGTTGTCTGCTGCCTCAGCCCAGCTTTCACGAGCTACAAGTAAATTTGTCAGACATGTAAATCCCTTACGGAATCCGCGCTGGGCCGCCCTGAGAAGATTAAACTTAATCAGGTGCTTCTCCACCGAATCCCTGACCAATTTTTCAATCAACTTAACTACTACACTTGTTAAGCTGACAGGCCGTTAGTTCGCGGGCAGAACTCTGTCCCCGCCATTAAAAATCGGACAGATGATTGCCTTCTTCCAATCCGATGGTAAGGCAAAGCTGTCGAGTGATATTGTAAACATGCATGTCATAGGGCCACTTAGCTCAGCGGCCAATTCATTTATCAGCTTCGGATGAATTGAATCAGGGCCAGAAGCTTTGGAAGGACTTAGCCCTTGTAATGGCCCGAAGACTTGTACCTCCGTTATGCTGATTTCAGTTAGGTAAGAATCCTCCAGAACTTTTGTGACCAGCTCAACCTGAGGTGGAGAGGCCTCATGAGAAAAGACACCAGTATACTGTTCGCTAAGTATACAGGCATTATCATACTCGGTATGCCCATGGGTCCCGTCCGCTCGTAGTAAAGCCGGTATAGATGAGTTTGTACCGCTAAGTCTCTTTACATAAGCAAATAACTTCTTTGGATTTGTTACGGCTGCGTTAGCCAAATCCTCCTCGTACTGATGACGAAGAGTTCTAAGATGACGCTTACATTTATTTCTAACCGCTCGATAGTTTTCGTAGGTGGTGGATGATGAAGCCGCATGGTAAGTTCGCCCGCACTTAGAGCGCTTCCTGAGCAGGTATTTACCTGTATGATCTATGCATGTAGGCTGCGCCCGTGTCACCCTTGTCTTAGTAAGTGGGATGTGGGGAGCAGAGATCTCGTTGAGGTATTCCTTAAATTTCTCCCAGGCTGTCTCAACGGTGTCAGCCACGGTGATCGCACAACGCAAAACAGAAGCTTTGTCTCGCATTGCGTTAAAGTCTGCCCGCCAAATATTTGGACATGCCTCAGCGGTAACTTGAAGACACTTAGTTAGTGCACATCGAAAGGACATGCAAACATGGTCACTGGCCCACAACGGACAGTCGTAGGTAATATCACCTACGAAATCGTGTGACTTCGCAAAAATGAGATTCAAGGTAGACGGAAGTTGGTTGCGCATATATCTAGTCGGGAGATCCACGAACTGATGCAAAGGCAATTGCAACGTTAGCTCAAGGAGATCCGTACCGAACGTGCCCACCGCCGAACTGCAAGATAGATCAGCCCAGCAGACTTTAGGGAAGTTGAAGTCACCCAATATTTGACACCTATTTGCAGCCTGAGTACGAATAAATTCAATACCCTCCCTGGAGATACTTCCAGGACTTCGAAATCCAACTACAACTGTAAACGGAGCAGAGGAAGTGCCCACAATATTCGAAAGGGCTTAAACAGGTTGCTCCGGCGGCTGGAACACACAGCTCCTCAACACATCTAGTTTACCACTCACATAAAGAGCGACGCCCCCACCTTGGCGGCCAACGGAGCGATCGCATCTAAGCAATGCGTAGCCAGGAAAACATACTTCACCGTCTGTGATATCCGGAGACAGCCACGTTTCGGTGATAGCAAGTATGTCGGGACGAGATTTGTCTACAAGTAGACCCACCTCGTGTACCTTGTTCCTTAGGCTACGCACATTACTAAGCACTACCCGAGGGAACTACAGCAGGACCAGCCCTCGGTCACACGCTACCAAGAGAGGTTCTGGTAAGGCAGAATTTGACTTCAGGCTGACCACCTGAAAACCCACAAGACGAAGGCCTTGCTCACCAGCCGCCCGCCTGCTCTTGGGGCTTTTGATGGCTTCCTTTAACTTCAGTCGATCTGCCAGTGGGAGGTCCGGCTGAACGCTGACATTACTACCCATGAGTTTGAATGCAAAGCGCATTAACGCTTTATGTTCCCCCGGGGTTGAGAGGACTACACGAAGTAGTCGGAGTCGCGGATGTGGCGTGTCTACAGGGACGTTCCCCAATCTGGTTAGTTTCCTGATAGTGACACCTGGGAAACCAGGTGGAAGCATCTTGTTGACGCAGAGCTTGAACCACTGGAGGTCATCCAGCATGCGTTCCTTTGGAATAACTGCCGCGGATTCAGCAACGTTACGAAAGATAACGCTACTATCAGTAAAAGAATCACCTCGATGAGGCGTATTCGCTGCACTCGTCTTCGACGCGACCTCAGTTTGGACCGGTTTCGCAGAGGACACGGCGCTTTTCTTCGCCAAGTGAGCTGGAGTAGTTGAGGTTGAGGCTTTATCCTCTGCCTCCAACTCCCTCACCGGTCTAGTCTTTTCAGACTTTGCGGGTGTGGCCGAAGTCGACACGGCGCGTTGCTTCACCAACGGAACTGGGGTGACTGGAGTTGGAGTTTCATGTTCCACCTCCGATAAGTTAATGCTATCAGTTCCTTCCGGCTTTGAGGCAGCCTTACGGACTTTCTTAGCCCTCTTCCTCTTGCTTTCATTGGACTCGGGGGCCATAAGTTCCGTCTCGCCTTGGACGGCTTCCAGTACGACATCAGAGGCCCCTTTAAAGGCATTCTGGACCGCTGGGACACAGGACACGGTAGCCACAAACTCCGTCGGATTTGCATCGACAGCACTTGAGGTTAGTTGCGTGTCTCCCTCCAATGAGCCGACATCAATAGGGACCCCCATATCCCTCATCAGTAATTCCACTTTCCGATCAAGAGATATGAGGAAAGACCACAACTGCTGGTTACCAAGCCCGACGTTGCTCGATGTCTCCTCAGTGACCTCAAGACTCGTAGATCGACGGTGACGGCATAGAAGCCAATTGAACTGCATGCTATCACTAGTCGAAAGCATTGCGTACTGATCAGGGCTCAAATCGGTACAGGTCTCATAAATAAATAAATAAATAAATTGTGTATTCTCGACTAAGCGAGGCACGCCTGCGCAGGCATGATCATGTTAAGAGTACAAAATGTGATCAGTTAATGTACAATGGAACAATGGGATTGTTGCATATGTTTATATATGAATGTATGTAAGTTTGCATGTAGGCGTGCTTAGCTTTGTTTATGGGATTGGTAAACGTTTCCTGTCATTTTGCTTAAATGGGTTTGAAGGTGTCGCCAGTGCTTGCTATCTGTGGACTTGAAGAGGTTGTTCGGATAAGCAGTGGGTGACTTTAGTTAGTGGCGAGTCACAACCGCCACGTCACAGTGTTGTTAAACGGACATATGTGGCTT